ATGCTTCTCTGGTGATTTCTTCTCTGGGAGTATGATATAGTAGAAGCGCTGCGACAGCACCACAGTCTTTCTTTTTATTGATTTGACTATCCCGACAACGATCGATCCCGGAGAAAAGAGAGAACGTTGCGAGACAAAATGTCGAGATAGTTTTACTTGCGCCTGACAGTACCGAACCTGTCAACTGAGCTACCCCTCCTGCGATTTTTGCGCCACGACGGCAATCTCTCGATTGTAGACGACCGCGGCAATGGGCAATGACTTGAAGGATGTTAGCGACGGTGATGTGATTAGCGACCACAAAATTGAGCGAGAGAGCTCCATGGAGGCCCAATCAGTAGATCACGGCCCTCTGGCCAGTCGCCAGTTTTCTCTATCTGGCGGAGGGAACCTTTCACTCGAGGATGTCCAGCCTGTCGACATCAAGATCCGCGACCTTGCCATTGCAGTTGACACAGCACCGTCCTGGCTTGAGCCAGCAACCTATCCAGAGCTTTTCGCCACCAAGCTCAACACTTCTCCGCGCATAAAGAAACTCTTGCATTCCGTCAATGCGGATTTGGCCCCAGGAACCCTTACCGCCATTATTGGTGGTAGTGGATCTGGCAAAACCACACTCCTGAACTGTTTGGCAGACAGGGTTGTAAGTTCACGGCTGACTCAGGAGGGTTTCACGACTTTCAACGGCTCAGAGGATGTGCACTCCGTAAGGCACGCCTATGTCATGCAACAGGACATCTTATTACCAACACTCACCGTTCGTGAAACATTAAAATACGCCGCGGACTTGCGGTTACCCTCGGCAACTACAGCGGCGGACCGGGCTCGGATTGTTGATGAAGTGATCCGAGAATTAGGCCTGAAGGAATGCGCGGACACTCGAATTGGCAACAGCCAGCACAGAGGATGCTCGGGGGGCGAGAAGCGGCGTGTTAGTATTGGTGTTCAGATGCTGGCAAATCCTTCTGTGCTTTTTCTGGACGAACCTACCACTGGCCTCGACGCGACAAGCGCCTTTCAACTTATCCGTACACTCAAGAGGCTTGCATATAAAGGGCGCACCGTCATCACAACGATTCACCAGCCTCGCTCTGAAATTTGGGACCTTTTTGACAATCTTGTTGTGCTCTCTAGGGGAAGCCCCGTATATTCGGGGTCCATCTCTGACTGCCTCCCATGGTTTCAGGACCTAGGATACGAGATCCCTCCCTTTGTGAATCCCGCAGAATTTGTCATTGATCTCGCTGCAATTGACAATCGATCCTCGGAATTAGAGGAAGAGAGTTCCTCTCGGGTTCAGAGACTAAAGGACGGATGGACCCGCGAAAGTGAGCGGCGTTTCGTTCCTGCTGAAAAGGTGACGCATGTAGGGCATGCGAGCGGAGGCAAATCGGCCTCTCAACACGCCTCTTTCTTCCAACAGGTTCGCGTTCTCACGGAACGGACATTAAAGGTTACATACCGTGACCCGCTTGGGATGACCGCTTCCATTATGGAAGCCATATTCATGGGCATCACGTGTGGCTACCTATTTTACAATCTTGCTCGCAACCAAGCTGGAATTCGCTCCCGCCAGGGAGCTCTCTACACCGCAGCTGGGCTTCAAGGGTATCTAATTCTCATTTTTGAGATTTATCGTGTGACAATCGACATGCCAGTCTTCGACCGCGAGTCATCCGAGAACTGTGTTGATGCACTCCCATTCATCTTGTCACGTCGTCTAGCCAGACTACCCACTGAGGACTTTCCCGTTCCCTTCCTCTATTCCACGATATTCTACTTCATGGCTGGTTTTGATCGCGAGGCACACAAATTCTTCATCTTCTTCGCTGTCACACTCATCAATCATTATATAGCTGTGACTTGCGCCGTCACTTGTGTTGCAGCGGTCAGGCATTTTGCTGGGGCCAGCTTGATCGCAAACTTGGTGTACACTTTGCAAAGTATGGCATGTGGCATGTTCATTCAGAGCGAAACGATTCCCGTCTACGTGAGATGGTTGAAGTGGATAACCTACACTGTAAGAAGCCCCCTTTTTCCTAATATCCTCGTGGCTTTGTGATTTCGGGGGAAATTGGTAAAACTAACTTGAGCAGTTCTTCATCTTCAGCGCTTATGCTGGAAATGAATTTGAAGGCAGTTTCTATGACTGTCCAGTGGAAGGCGGGGAGTCAAACACTGCGTGTCGGCAGTTCACAGGGAGCTTTATCATGGAATCTCTTGGTTTTCCACCTAACTGGGTTTGGAGACCAATTGTCATCTCTGCCTCCTTCATCGTATTCTTCATCGCACTGTCCACCATCGGTCTTCACTTTTTCAAGGTCGAAATGACCATTGCTCGAGCGCGAACCTCGGATACCGATTTGTCGGCAGGAAAGGAGAAATTGAGCCGAAGCTCGGAAGGCGATGTCAGGTCGATCGACGTCCAACTCGAAGACTTTGCTTTATCGTTGGATAAAAGATCAGGAATGGGGAAGTGGCTCCCGCGGAAAACCGTACTCAATCCCCTAAATGCTTCATTCCAGGCTGGAGTTCTGAACGTCATCATGGGGCCTTCCGGGAGCGGCAAGACCTCGCTTCTCAACACCATGGCCCTAAGGCTTCGCAATTCGTTTGGCACGAGATACCGGCCTTCTGGAAAATTGACCCTGAATGGTGCAGTACCTTCCGATTCTGTCCTTCGTTCCATCTGCTCCTACGTTTGTCAGGATGATGATGCGTTGTTACCATCCCTGACGGTACGTGAAACGCTTCGATTCGCTGCTGGCTTGCGGCTCCCCTCCTTCATGAGCAAGAGAGAGAAGTATCAGAGAGCCGAGGAGGTTCTCCTGAAAATGGGACTGAAAGATTGCGCAGACAACTTGGTTGGGAGTGATTTGATCAAGGGGATCTCTGGTGGAGAGAAACGCCGCGTGTCGATCGCCATCCAAATTTTGACCGATCCTCGGGTTTTACTTCTCGACGAACCCACGTCTGGTCTTGATGCTTTCACGGCAAACTCTATCATGGAGGTTCTTAACGGGCTGGCCAAGGAAGGTCGGACTTTGATTCTAACCATCCATCAAGCCCGCTCAGACCTCTTTAGACACTTTGGGAATGTGCTTTTGCTCGCGCGCGGTGGTTCACCGGCCTATTCTGGTGCAGCCGGAGACATGCTGCGATACTTTAAGCAACAAGGATATGAGTGCCCTCAGCATACGAATCCAGCGGACTTTGCTCTTGATATGATCACGATCGATCTCCAGCATGATCAACAAGAGGCAGAAACGAGGGAGAGGGTAAACAAGCTGATCGAGGCATGGGAGGCCAGGGGTTCCAGCGATGGAGCTCTAGACATTAGTAGCGAAAAGAACGCCATGGCTCAAACCAAATTAGACGTTGTTCGTGAGGCTACCGAGGCTGATGGCCAGGCTACCTCAAGTCAGTCTGATGAGAAGAACCTCGATATTGTGGCTCGACCATCCTATGCATCGCCTGCTCGGAAATCGTTCAACAAAGCGAACTTATCAACTCCCGCAGAACTGGGTGCACTCGTGCGCAACCGTGCCTCCCTTGCTACAGCTTTCCCTATACTACTCCATCGAGCCATTATCAATACACGGCGGCAGCCCGAATTGATTCTTGCTCGTGTGATGCAGGTTGTCGGCCTTGCGCTCATCCTGGCTCTGTTTTTCGCGCCAGTCCACAACGACTACTTCTCCGTGCAGAACCGAATGGGTTTCGTACAAGAAATTGGTGCATTCTATTTCGTCGGTATGCTACAGAATGTGGCAATCTATCCCAATGAACGAGACGTCTTCTACCGCGAAGATGATGACGGGGTATACGGCATCGAGTCGTTCATCCTATCGTATACAGTTCTTGAAGTTCCATTCGAGATCTTGAGCTGCTTGATATTTGGTGTGCTCGGGGTCATTGCTGTGGGCCTTCCACGCACTGTCACAATGTATTTTGTCAGCGTGTTTGCGTGCTTTGGGATTGTGTCCTGCGGTGAGAGTCTGGGTATCATGTTCAACACCCTCTTCCCTCATACAGGATTTGCGGTCAACGCCATGGGAATTCTTCTCTCTGTTGCCAATACCATGGGTGGAGTTTTGTCCATCGACATGCCCAAGCTCTTTGTCTATTTCAATTACCTTTCCCCCATTCGATACGGCCTTCGCGCCGTGGCGCCTTATTCCATGCGGGGAGTTACATTCACTTGCAACGACAGCCAGCGTCTGCAGGATGGTTCCTGTCCCATTGAGACTGGCCAGGATGTTCTTGATCTTTACAAATTCACCGAAGACCCGGTGATAAATGTGGCTGCCTTGGCCGGCTGCATCGTTGTATATCGCCTTTTGGCATGGGCACTCTTGCGTGTTATGCGAGGTCGGTGGAGAGAGAAGCTCAAGGAGCGTGGGCGAAAGCAATGAGTGATGCCAACCAGAGCTCTGCTCGTACATGAACATACTTGCTAGATTTGCATATAGAGTATCTAGCACTTAACAGAGCAAGGCCATGAATGAACAGCAATGTTGAGGACTGTCTTCTCTGTAATAAGTCTACCTATGGATGGACTGCTAAACCCAAAATGGCCCCAACACCCGCAGACAAGGATGGTGCCTGGCTAATTTCAATGCTTATTGTGGCCGTTCGGGGCGTTGCAGTCTCCCCACACCGCCAAGCGCCGCGCCTATCTGTTCTCGCTTTGGCTCAGGGACCAAAGATTTGAAATTTAAATAGGGAGGTGCAGATGTTCATTGGCAATCTCTGTGGAAGCCGCGGGCCGGAAGCCCCTCTTCCGGCTCGACTGACTTTTGCCTTTGCTTCTGGTGCCTGAAGATCCGTCCCGGCCCTCTCTACACCGACCTTTCCCCTTGGCTTGGCTGTCACTTTAAGTATCGAGATAGCCGCAAAAATTCTCCTTGGCCCTGGACCCCTCTTTGACCTCAGACTTGCATCTCATCCTACGCCCTCCTTCCCTCTCTCTCGCAGCAACCACCAATTGACTGCTCACAATGGCTTCTACGAACGGCTCGGCGGTTGCGCATGCGTACTACCCCTTGGGGGTCATCATCCCCGGGTATGCGGCCAACACGATGGATGCGCTCGAGCTCGTCTCGTACTTTGGCCTGGGTTGCGGTGCCGTCCTCGTGCCCACGTACTTTCTGATCCAGAGCAAGCGGCCCGACCTGCGCAGCTGGGAGGTGTTTGCCGCCCTGTGGTTCGTCCTCTGCGGCTTCATCCACACTTTCTTTGAAGGTGAATAACAACCCTCCTCTCCTCATCACTAGTACATACTCTAACATGACCAAGGCTACTTCGCCTACAACTTCAAGGACATGGCCAGCAAGCTCGACCTCTTCGGCCAGCTCTGGAAGGAGTACTCCCTCTCCGACTCCCGCTACCTGACCCAGGACTCGTTCCTCGTCCCCATGGAGTCCGTCACCGCCTTCCTCTGGGGGCCCATGTCCTTCTTCATCGCCTACGCCATCGTGACCGGCCACCCCCTGCGCCACTCGCTCCAGCTCATCGTCAGCGTCGGCCAGATCTACGGCGACATCCTGTACTACGCCACCTGCACCTTCACCATGCTCATGGACCAGAAGCACTACTGCCGGCCCGAGAACTACTACTTCTGGGCCTACTACTTCCTGTGCAACGCCTTCTGGATCGTCATCCCGGGAGCCCTCGTCTTTCAGAGCATTGGCGCCACCAAGCGGGCGTTTGCTCAGCTTCAGAGCTTGGAGAAGGTGAAGAAGGGTAAATAGACGAAGGCGCGATGCGGGTTCGGACTCATAGAGGGCTAAAAATTTAGAATAGAAGTAATGGTAGGTCGTATGCTTAATACAGGAATAGAACCGATGGCATGGTTATCAGCCGTTGTCCAATATCAGGTTGATTGGTAAATACCAGTCATTCAATTATTATCGTTTCCCTATCAATGCTCCAAGTAGGTGATGTACAGGTTGGTCTCTCGATATTCATCCGTCCGGCGACAATTACAGCTTCTGCTTAATCTCCTCGGCAGCGCCCTTGGCCTTCCCCTCGGCCTCCTTGGCAGCTCCCTTGGCTCGGCCTTCCCACTCGTTCGCCTTGCCCTTAGCCTGGCCCTTCAGCTCCTCGGCCTGGGCGGCGGGGTTGCTGTGTGAGATCTTGTCGACGCCATCCTTGGCGATGTCCCGTGCGGCGGCTAGAGAATTGAGTCGACGTGTCAGCCATTGCTTCGGTTGGTTACACTGGCAAAAGACCAGGGAATTGATTTGACCGGGTTGAATAACTCGGAATTGGTTCACTTACCGACAGCATCAACGGCAGGAATGGCAATGTTATCGCTAACAACGCGATCGACCTTCTTCAGCCCATCCTTGACGGACTCGGTGGCCGTCTTCTGGTTGGCGAGGGAAGTGGTGAAGGTGCGTTGCGCGGGTACTACGAGAGCACGGGGGAGAACGAGTGCGCGCTGGGCGACGGTGCGTGTGAGTGATGACGACATGACTGAGGCTGGGAATTTGTGAAAGTTGATTGTTTTTGTGGCGGGATGCAGATGGTAATTGAGGTTATTACGATGTTCTTTTAATAGTGAACAGGAAATGATTCAAGAATGAGAAAGCTTTCTCAGAGCTCTGATATACACGACGTTGAACCAGCCCCACGGCAGGAGCGATCAGGGTGAGGATCGATTACATCATGGGCACGTTACTCCAGAGAGGGGCGGCCAAACAGACGAACGGGAGGCCTAGACGGGGAGCATGTGGAATTGGGGAGGTGAATGTAGCAGTCATGACGCAGAGAATAAAGGCAAATCCGCATCAATCAGGCCAGGATCGAAGCTGGCCCGAAACGGGTGAAGGTACAGAGTGGGATCGTGATCGTGATCTGCTAACTCAATTGACGACGTCAGAGATGGGTCATGATGCCATTCGCCCACAAACTGGGTGACATTAAATTTGAGACACTCAAAAACATTGCACTGCTTATTCTCGAGCCTACGAACAGTATTGTCGGATTGTTGAGGGCTAATAATAGACATCTAGGGGACAATACGGTGAAGGTATTAGTATTCTTTTCATCTATTTCATGCGGCTTCATAGGTTTGGGTAGTGGAGGCAGTGGTCACCTTACAACCGCCATCAATTTGATGTCTTGATTTTTCTGTCACTCACTCACCGCACCCAATTCATAGTTTGGAGAAAAGGAGAAAACTACCATTTTAGCATACTTTTAGTCACTTCATTGTTTGCCAGAAAACGCTTAATTGCACCATTGGATAAATCGTTCATTTGGTTGAGTACAGGGCGGACCAATGCCTCCTCTACCCACTCTACAGACATCTGGCTTACATCATGACTTCAGCCCTGGACAGCTCCAGGGAACGTCAACAGAGTAATTTTCAATACGCTGCCCATCTGTCCGGCCGAGGTCCCTCCTCCCACGGCAGCACGGCCGCCCGCTGCCCACCCCTCAACGGCGCTGCAGCCTCCCGACCTCTCATTTCGCCTTGCACACCCGGGTGCTGCTGGTGCTGCGGGACGGGATCGGCATAGTTCCTGGCATTCGAAGGTTCGCCCATATTTCCCGGCATTCCTGGGCTCCCGACCTCAAACAGCTTCGGCCGCGCCGGTCTCGTGTAGGAACGGAGCTCCACACTCTCCGGCTGGACCTCCACCGGGGACGGAGACCCTGACCAGCTCCTCGGCGCTCTGTTCCTCGACGGGCGGTGGTGCGCCAGCCAGTTGTTCAGCTGGGAAGGCTCGGCGTCTTGGAACACGGATCTGCGGGGTGCTGCTGGCGCTGGCGGGTCGTGGCGGGAGTCGCTGTGGTAAGGTCCTATCCCGGACGAGTCGTCGTGCCAGCCTCTGCGCCTCTCGCGTCGGCGTTTCTTATACAGGTATCGTCCTAGGAATATGATGCCTAGTAGGACCGTCATAGCGGCTATGACTATCCCCGCCGTCGCGCCGTTTGATAATCTGTCTTGCTGATCTATAGTGCCGCTCTGCGCGCCCGTCTCCGCTGGATCGGCTCCGGTCTCGGTCGAGGATTGTGTCTCTTCTGCTGAGTTAGACGGGGATGCGCTCGGCGATGGAGAGTGCTGTGATTCACTATGAGAGCCGGTGGATGTGGCGCGGGAAGAATCAGGGCCTGTCCACTCATCGGAACTGGACGTACGCGGCTTTTGACCGCTAGTCAGCCTACTCAGAATTGGGCTTCCTTCTGTCTCTGACGCGGATGTCGAGATGCTGGAGGTGCCGTGGCCAGTGCTAAGGTCGCTGCGGGAAGGCCCTCGCCAGCTCGCAGACGCAGTAGGTTTTGTAACAACTGGGCCGTCCCAAGAACTGCTCGAAGTATCATCGTCATTAGCATACCTGTTGACGGCTTCGGCGTGCTGGGAGGAAATGAAAAGGCATTCGGGTCTGAACAGATTGGTTGCTACATCATCACCAGATGTAGATGTAACTGGCGTAGACAAGAGGTCTCTCCCACCCCTTCCTGGCATGGTGTTTTAACTTGATACTACAAAATGATAATACAAGGAGACCTTCATCATGAAATCAACAAGGGGAAAACCTGAGAAATCTTTTGTGTGATTAGCTGCAGCTACGGAGTGTACCTCAAGCATTTCTTGAGTGACATGAAGGGGCTAGAACCTGACGCAGCTCCGCCATTCCCTTTCACGTACATCCAGGTGGTCGGACGCTTGCCAACGGCCGTGGTAGCCAAGGCGGTGGCAGAAGTGGTCGCACTCGCCAAGTTCCCGGTTACACAACGGTTCCATTGTCTCAGGTCGGGCATTCTTGTACGCCTTGTACGCGGCAGCGCGGAACACCGTCGCTGGGTTGACCTGCTGGGGAACAAGCTATGCTGCTGAAGGGCGCAGGCTTTCTATCCGAGTCCTTATGACCTTCTCTGCGTTAGCCGGGTCGATGCGCTCCGTCTGTCCTGCACGCATCATCTTTCCAAGCAGGAACATGAGCTTGCCCTGCGGGAATTTCGCACTGGTGGCAAACTCTTGTAACACCTTGTCCTCGCCTTCCAGGACTTCGTCTACCAGGGCCTCATACTCTTCTAGAGAATACTCCTTGAACCAGAGGTCATGCGTATCAATTGCGCTCCGGACGCCATCCTCAAGCTCCCCCAGATACAGGGCCATGAGCAGCTCCTTTGCTACTTTTCCTGTGATATGCTTGCGATAGAGATGATAAAGTAGCTGAGACAGCTCAGCATCAGGCACTTGAGCACAGTCACCATCCGGGGCGAATGTTAGATCTACCGTACCATGAGGGCCGGCTTTCGAACTGGTCAAGCGGCCAAGCTCATGAAGCGTCCAGTTACCCACCAACGCAGCATAGGTCTTGACATCGGCACCCTCGCCATCAAGATCGTCGGCGGCAATCATATCTTGGACCGAATACAGTACCCTGTAGAAATATTCGACCCGGGCGCCGTTGTCAATGTTGATTAGGGATAGAGCATCTTTAGGTGTGAGGCCGAAATAGGAGATGAGCTTGTCGAGCTCCGTGTCTGGGGTGACGGGAAGCGATTGTTTGAGATGCGCTATGAGGTCGCTCCCAATAACCAAAGGTGCAATGTCAGGATCCGGCATGTACCGATAATCAACCTCGCCTTCTTTTCCACGTAGCCTCCTAGTCTCGGTAGAGCCAATCGACCATCCACGGGTCTCACTGGAAATCTGTCTACCAGCATCGAGTTCCCGTATCTGGCGGTCCCGTTCAGCAATGATGGCATCCTCCACCGCCTTGATTGTGCTCAGATTCTTGATTTCAGTCCGGGTTCCTAATGTTTGGCTTGGGTCGTCGGTGCGTCTCACAGACACATTAACATCCGCTCTCAGGCCGCCGGTCTCCATGCCGGAGACACAGGCGTCAACTGTGCTAAGCAAGAGTTGGATCTTGCGGACAAGAACGGCAGCAGTTCGGGGGTGGTGTAGTTCTGGCTCCGTGATAATCTCAATAAGCGGTGCGCCAACGCGATTGAAATCAAGCCACTGTGTGTTATCATTATGTGCTAATGTCTTGGCCGTATCCTGCTCCATCTGGACCTGCTTGATGCCAATAGTGACACTCTTTCCATCCTCTGGTGCAATTCCATCTCTAGCCAGGAGTGTTATATGTCCATTTTTAGCAAAAGGCTGATAGTACTGTGTGATTTGGTATCCGGAAGGCTGATCCCACCAGAAATAATGTTTCCGGTCAAAGCGACTAACGGGTTGAATATCGCAATTCAATGAAAGCGCCGCTCGAAGCGCAGGTATCAATGTTCCAGTCTGGAAAATAGGCTGGCTACCAGGCATTGCCACATCGAACAAGGCAACATGGCTATTTGGGTCATCGTTGAACGAGGTAGTTGCGGACGAAAATAGCTTGCATGGTGTGTTTAGCTGGGCGTGGATCTCGATACCGACTGTCAGTTCCCAGCCCTCTACGGTCTGGGAATCAGCGTTGGATTTCTTCTTGCCCTGCTTGCGTGCTTGCTTCGCCTCATCCTTCAACTTCTTCCGGAGCGGCACCGTCGGAGGCGTTTGTACCTGCTGGTGTGTGGGATCGGGTTGTTCTTTGGCGGCGTGGAAAGTCCTGAGTGGACGGAGTGTGGGCGGTGCTGGTCCAACCAGACGGCTTCGGGGCGTACGACGGAAAGATGTCAAGCAGCCATTCGTAGAGAGTCTCCCAGCAAGGAGGTATCTGCTCAATTCGCCGACTGGGACTCGACCCATCGCTGCAAGAGCGCGCCGTGGGCGGCTGGGCGTGCGTTGCTGGGTTCGTTTGGAAGAAACTCTGTCGCTCCTGTTTCAGGGCGCGTGCGACTTTGGGCAGCGAGGCAAAGCTGCAAGGAATCGAATGGCTCGGGTGAAAATCGATCACTGGACACCAGCCAGCCAAGCGACCTCAAGGCGGTGGTGTTGATTGGAGAGCTGCACGAAGGCAATTTGCGATGGCGGGGCGACGCTAAAGCTGCAATGCAGGAAGCTTTTCACAGCTCAGGTTGCATCCGCCACTGACAGCACTCCAAGGGACGCTCGCTCAAGGGTCAGGATTCGGGGGGGTGGGCTTGGGAATTCAAGGCAGCTTTTTACAAAAGCTCCGGTAGGAATTGAGTTTGAGATACCTGTCTAGCGAGAGGTCTGGTCAAAATACAGCTCCATCTCCAGCTTTACGGAGCGAAGTAAACCCGAGATGCTGCTAGATGCAGGTGCACAGCAGCACGCTGTGAAGCGAGGAAATTTTCAATTACGCTCCAGCCACTGTACATAGGCTCATCCAAGTCCTTGAACCTTGCTGAAACTACCACAGCTGTAGTCTCGCCTACTGTCTGTTTTATCTTCACCCCCAAGAAACGGAACAGCTCGGAATGACGTGGGAGCTCTTCGAGCGGTTCAGCGCCTACCCTACACCTGTATGTACCTTTGTGGAGAAGCTCCGACCAAGCTTTAAGCACCAAACCTGATCCCACAACTTCTCACGAGGGATCGCCCATCGCCATGGAGAGGAAACCCAATTCGAGAGATAACTCAAACCACATCCAAATCCTCCCTCATTCGCCGGGGTAAACAACCAGTGGAGCCTGTTCATGGTGTGTGGGGGATTCGGAAGTGCCCCATGCCATCCATGTCTGTCTTGTTGTGGATCAGTGGGTGAGCTTCAGCAAGCTTCCGTCAATAGTCAGTATCGAAATGTCTTGGAGCCGTACTCGAGATCATCATGGGCTGATATTTGCACAGTTCATCCCTCCTCATGCGCGACGACCATGCACAGCATTGACCATGGAGCTCCTTGTGGAAATGAGCCGCCTCCGAGTCTGAATATCTCCGACCACATGCATAATCGAGCGTTGGCCGTCGCCATGAGCGTAACGGCAGTGTTCAGCCAGCCAACAAACCACGCCTCAGCATGTTGGATAGCCGTCTACCAATCACCGAGATCAGCCTCATTGACCCATGCACTCATCGCGTCTCCCCCTCTTCTTGGACCAGCAGCTGCGTATCAGAGTCCGGTCCCCCCCGCCCATTCAATCCAACCCTCACCCGATCTGACCCTCCAGAACGAGGAACCTTGGGTGACGTGCACATGATACGACATGTCCGTAGCAGCGCACCCCCGGGCATACCGTGTGCATTGGTATATCATGAGCTTGGTCACAGCGTGCTCCTCCATTTCCCGGGCAGCCTACCACCCACGGTTTGCTCATCTGCCCGCTGCCGCCAGTCTCGCCTTGCCAGAATGTTTGCTCAAGCCCTGTGTGGATGGTGTGCGTCCAGCCTCGGGTAGGCTGCATTGATACTTGAACCAGTGATCGCCCTCCCCTTCTTCCTCTCTAATCTCCCTTCTTCACCTTGTCTTTCTAGTGTACTGTATCGTATCCCATGCCATCGGTTGGATCCCAGCGACATACCTACCACAAATTGATGAATCATCGTCGCGCGGCCATTTACCATCTACATCCCTGCGCCAGCTTCCAACTCAAGCAAGCCGACGCTTGCAGAGTTGACTGTATCTTCCAATTCATCTCGCTTTACCTACTTATGTTGCTATCCTATTAACCTCTCGCGAGTCAAGACCGGTTCCTTGCCCGCCAATCTCCCAACCGACTGTCTTACTCTCCAATTACACGTGCACCTCATCGTCATATGACCAGTTCTTCGTTTCCTAATATCCCGCCTGCTCTTCACCCACGACTCACCCTTTACTTGAACTGAATACCGAACTCTGTAAATTTAGTTGCGCCCGAAAAAATAGGCTCACCATGGCTGAACCATTCATTACGATTCGGCGTGGATCGCAATACTCCGAAACAGGCGATAACAATGGAGCACAGTTATCCCCTATCCATGATACACCTCAACTCATTCAAGGACCTGCCTCTTCCGACCTACACCATACTCCCACTATCGAAGACTGCTCAGATGAAGAGGGCGAAGCCAAGGCCAACCATAGACCTCGCCGGTTTGCTCCCAAAGGGCATCTAAACACACAGGGTCACGGCCGAAGTCCTCGGCCGCCTGGCCCGTACTATCCGTCCGATCGACAAAGAACGTATTCGAATAACTTCATGCCACCCTTCTCAAATCCCCAAGAGAATAACACCAGATCCTCTTCAGATTCTCCACCTTCTCCTACCACATTCGTTACCCTTGCCTCTGGAAACGGCGAGCAACCCATACCTGAGCATTTTAATCACCAGCCTGAGCATTTCAACCATCAGCCTGAGAACTTCAATCACCAGCCTGAATCTCCAGTAGAAGGAACACGACGGATGAGAGGCCACAGACAACGGAAATCCTCCTTTATTGCGCCATCCTCTCCAGCGGGCCATAGCTACTCCTCAGTCCCAAGCAGCCTCCAAAGCGATGTCTTCTCTCAAGATCGTAGACAGAGCGAGTCTCACCGCAGCTGGAGCCCTGATCAATCAATGCCAGCGCCTTCTCCTTACCCTCACATGATAAAGCCAATGCCACCTGACCAACAAAATTCCGACGCATTCGCAGGTGGATGGTCGTCATCTCCTGGGGCGAACAACCAGATGCAACTTGTAGGCCCCGGTCCGGGTCCCAACGGGCCCATGATGCCGGGCCCAGCGCCACATCGAGAGCCCCAAGAATTTCATAGAGATCCTCCTATTTCGGGATACCAGCAGATCGCTATGAATATGGCTGGAGAAATAGGACATACCCGGATATATCCAATATATCGACGTTATGCCACGTTAAACCACCGCCTTCTCCTTCATCTACAAGATGAGCTCGCCGTGCTCGAAGAGGAATTGGGGAGACTGGATTACGACGATGCCTCCGAGAGAACACAGCATGATCATATACGCCCCGCTTCGCGAAGAGAAGAAGCCAAGCGTGGGATTGCTAGGGATGAGCTGATGAAAAATGTCAGCTTTAAATTAGAACAGTACCGTGAGTTTGGCTTTAGGTTGACGTCACATTGTACCTCGCAACGGCTAACATCCGCTCATAGGTCAGACACTTGCTGCTTTCCATGAAATACAGCAGTACCCCCGACCGACGAACGAAGAAATCGACGGTTATAGCAACTTCCTCTTCCGGGATGGCCCGATTGTTGAGAGCGAGGCTAGGTTTATCCGTCACGAGAGCGATCTCGTGTGTCTCCCCTTCTTCGCGGCAGACGAGCCCGGGCCTCCTCCCATGAAAGAAATATCGGGTATGCCGCCGCCCTCGCCGATACAGTCGGATATTACTACCCACACGACGAGAAGCAAGCAAGGGAACGACCTTATGAAGCCCAGGAAGGCGGGCTCTAATCGCCCTCGCACTCTCCTCAATGCCGCATATGTTAGCATTGCAGCTATTCTTGCCCCTATTCTCACCTTCTTCGTCATTCCTAGCTTCTTGGGTCGCATGTTGATCGTCTTTGTCGCCATCGGGGGCGTATCGGCAGTGGTGATGTCGTCAGGGTTGCTGCGTGGATCTGACCCAACTGTGATCAGGGACTGTGTGATCTGTGCGGGAGTCTATGGTGGGATTATGGCTGTATTGGCTGGAATATGTTGACATGTTTTATGTTTATACGAATCAACCAGATGTCTCTACTTATCGGAATAACGAGACACTTCGGTTCGTTAGACAATAAAGATGTGCGATGATGGTCTGACAAATCTAAAATTTAGCCAAGCAAGTGGGTGAAATAAAACATGACACGTCGAGATAGTTCAGTATTGAATCCTGACACAATATCACATTAAATAACCTAGTACTGAATACAATACCAAGCTAAATATCATAGAATAATTTATTATTCTCTTCTTATTGTGTTTAGTTAGAAAACAAGGTCCCTGCCGAGCTTTTTAGGCTCGCGCTGGTTTCCATCGCGTCGACTTTCAGGATTGTGTTTGGATCGTACTCCGTTCATAAATTTGATAATCTTACTTGGCATAAGAAAGACCACGATATTCGAAAATCTTTACTCTCTTTCGTGCTGCAGAGTCTGTAATGTGAAGTCATGCAAGCCGATTGAGTTCGCCATGTCCCTGATTGCATGAGCCAGCCGACTAGCAGCAGTCTTGTGCTCGCCTTCAGTCTCTTCACCAATCAAAACCATAAACACTGACCCAGTTGTTCCATCACCGGCGCCGCGTACGGGATAGTCGGTCTCTAAACCCCATCCATAGCTGTAACAAATAGAGCCGGAAGAATTATCGTCTCGCTCTGTTAGTACACCCTGTACTTGCTGCGTTATAGCTTCTTTATCGCCAAGTGAGATATCTGAGGGGAAGTAGCCAACAATAATGCGTGTTGAGGGCGACCTGAGTGCTTGATTCGACGGCATTAAAGCAACGTGCTTGGTGAACTCGCCATGAGTGCACACTTTTGGGATATCCTTCACGGCTTCCACACCGTATCTGCAGGTGGTCAGCAAGAACCACCATGGGGACTGGCTTATGTATATTCTAGCTTACTTCTTTGCGAAGACCTCGTGCTGCTGGACCGAATCCCAGTCGAAGAAGGCCCAGACCTTTGACGGATCTTCCTTCTCAAGACCCCAGATGACGTTTTGCGGACCTCCCGGCTGGGATAACACGGTTTTCCAAATGCCAGGAAGGACAGCGCCTTCGGGAGTGTTGGGATCTGTAATACGCAGCCCTGGCTTAACACCCATACAGCCAACTTCGGTGATCGTCATATCGACACAAGGGATAGTGTAGACTGTTTTATGGTCAATACGTGTCAAGAAACCACTATTGATAGCTGCCAAAAAGGTGAGGCTTTAATAAGGAATAATGATCAAAGGTTTATATAGTTATTTCTACCTAGTAGGCGGCCATCATTGATGTCTGAGATCATGTTTAAGGGCCCAGTTTTACCGGCCGGGCGCTATTAACGGCCGGATACGGTAACCGGAGACTCGGGAGCCATCAGGATAGTTCGGTATTGAACGTTAACACAATATTATAACAAATAACCTAGTACTGAACACAATATTAAGCTGAATATTATTATAGAATAGTTTATTACTCTCTAATTATTTTCTCTTATTATTGTGTTTGGTTAAAAAATGAGATCCCTGCCTTGCGCGGAAAGAGCTTTGGTGTGCCATGTTTTATGCCACCCACTTGGCTGGTTGGCTGGAACTTGAAAGTTGCACGCCACTTTGGGAGCCCCCCCTAAATCACGGTTTGTTCTCTTCATTTCTCATATAATTCCCCGTATAGTAGTCTAGACAGTTTCTGCTCATTTTCTACAATACTACTGCCCATGTAGTGTCCAATTGACCATCGAGTCTCCCTCCTGGACTCTTTCACGTGATTACAGCTCACGTGATACGGCCGTAAACTGGGCAGGAACGGCCCCACATAGTTGCTAAACAAATCTGCCCACTGCCCCTCCATAACTGCCCCTCCAAGAATTGAGTGTGAGTCAAGCTCGTGTCGCCCACTTTCAGTTCTCACAACAACAGTCACCAACAAAAATGGAGGAAGACAACGCTGCCGGCCCTTCCAAGAAGGCTCTCAAGAAGGCCGAGGCCAAGGCCAAGAAGGAGGCCCTCAAAGCGCAGCGTGCAGCAGAGCGTGTCGCTACGCAGGTCTCCAACATCGAGCTCGAGGATGACCCCGCCAAGGACAACTACGGAACTACGACGAACCCAACCTTCAGCGCCGACGCCGAGGAGGTCGAACTCCGCGATCTAGACGACTCCTACGATGGAAAGAAGGTTGTCATCCGAGCATGGCTTCAGAACAGCCGCACACAGAGCGCCAAGATGGGATTCGTCGAGCTTCGCAAGGGGGGTAACTGGACCATCCAGGGTCTTGTTCTGGCCACCATCACAGGCACTGGCGCCGAGTCCCAGTTGCCGGCCGAGGGAACGCCCGTGATCAGCAGGCGTATGGTCAAGTTCATCACCGCCATCAACCCCGAGAGTTTCATCGCTGTCGAGGCTCAAGTAAAGCGACCCCTTGAGCCGGTCAAGAGCTGCCGAATTTCCACATTGGAGCTTCATATCACGAAGGCCTTTGTACTTGCGGCTGCTCCCCCCGTCCTCGGAATGACCATGGCCGCCTCCTCCCAGCCGGTTGCCAACTTCAGCGACGAAGAGCCCAAGGCCGAGGAGGAGGTTAAGAAGGAGCCCGAGGCTGAGGGTGGTATTCCTGCCGCAAGCATGCTCACCCACCTTGACAACATCGCTATGCACAAGCGCGCTCCTGTCCAGCAGGCTATTGCTGTATGTCGCAATCATACCAACCATTGGCCCTTTTCCTGCAGAAAATCTTCTCGACAAGTGACTAACAAGACGTAGGACATCCGTATTGAGGTGAAGAGGCTCTTCCGCTCTTACCTTGAGGAGCGCCGATTCAAGGAGTTCGAGCCACCATGCCTGATTGGTGCAGCATCGGAGGGTGGTGCCAATGTCTTCCGACTGGCATACTTTGGCCAGGAGGCTTTCCTCGCCCAGTCTCCTCAATTCTACAAGCAGTTCGAGATTGCTGGTGGAAGAGAGCGTGTCTTCAGCATTGGACCTGTGTTCAGAGCTGAGAACTCCAACACCCCTAGACATATGACGGAGGTTAGTTTCCCCAATCCACTTCCCTTCTTTGGGCAATGACTCACACTCTAGTTAGTTCACTGGTCTCGATTTGGAGATGGAGATCAAGCACAGCTACACTGAAGTTATCTCAGTGCTTGAAGGTGTTCTATTACACATTCTTCGCGGACTTCGTGGTATGTTTGCATTTTCCTTGATATGAACAATCTTGCCGTAATCCGTCTGGTGAGGGAGAACGCTAATGGATAAAATAGAGCGATGTGCCGATGAAATCCAGATTGTTCGATCCGTCTACCCCTCGGAAGATTTCCTCCTCCCCGAGCCAGGCAAGGAAGTCCGTCTGAACTTCGCTGAGGCTCAGAAACTATTGCGAGAGGAAGGTCCCGAGGAGTTCCGCAACGTTCGCGATGACGAGGATATGTCAACTGCACAGGAGAAGGCTCTCGGCGCAGTCGTCCGTGCCAAATACAACACGGACTTCTACGTGCTCGACAAGTTCCCCGAGACTGCACGACCTTTCTACGCAAAGGTCGATGACGCCGGTACCACGGTTGGCGATAATGTCCGTGTCACGAATGCGTTCGACTTCTTCCTCCGTGGCCAGGAGGTTCTGTCTGGTGGCCAACGTATCAACGACCCCAAGGAGCTTGAGGAGCGCATCCGCGCCAAGGGTGTTGACCCGAATAGCGAAGGTATCAAGGAGTACCTGACGACGTTCCGCCAGGTTGGTGTGCCACCGCATGGTGGAGGTGGTATTGGACTCGACCGAGTGGTTGCGTGGTTCCTGGCATTACCTAGCGTCCATCTCGCGGCGTTCTACCCACGAACCCCCAAGAGATTGCTGCCATAAAGACCAAAAGAAAAGATGTTTTATAGTATAATGAGATATCTATGGACTATGTATTGGCAGATGTACACAGTTAGATCTAGCCTACTTCAAAATTACATATGGTCTCAAAGCACTTTTACCTTTCCGACTGTGCATCGTAGATGATTTGATATGATGTTTTTTCCGTTCGTTATAACTCAGTTTCCATCCTCGAAGGGAACTAATTGCGGTTTGACATAGTCAAGTTACTCATCTTTACGAAAGATTTCTATGGCTACGACAAGAAAAGCTGTATTCTAGCAGCAGTAGAAATCACTTCTACAAGTATTCTAGGGTAGGTGAGGCATCTCGAATTGTCTCGCGACGAAACTTGCCACAGGCGATCATCGTCAGGAAGGAGTATCCCTGCCTTACCACGTAAAATTAGAGAATACAGAATTTATTGCCTTTTCAGAGAGAGGCGGAGTAAGTATGTGTTCCGGGAAGTTTCACCTCGCAAGGTGCTCCCACTCTGATCCAAGATTTTGCTGTATTGCCTTGCATCGCATCCTCGCATTGCATGCCTCGCGTACCAGACTGGCTATGTTTCAGGCCAGCCTTAACTCGCTCCCAGTCGAGAAATACCGAAAGCGTTTGACAGCATCCACCTTCTCCATTCTGCATGGGGCAGACAAGCAAGTTCGATGGGTTTCGGCGTGGTACAAGTTAAATTCTGGTCTTGGTCGTACAGGATAGCGCTGCAAACATATGTTAACTCGACTCCCAGTTAGCTTGAGTGTGACATGATCTAAAACACCTGGGATGCTCACCTCGTGGCCCGGCTAGTCGGATTCCTGGGCGCCCAAGATGCGTGTATTGTCTGGTTAAAACAGCACCTGTGGGATTTGAGTGAACATACGACATTTGGCAGAGGCTGGCAAAAACGGGTACGTTTCTGCCACCTTGGCTTGGTTGACGGATACATGAAGGCGCCGCCACCTTGTTTCTGCGCTACTCTGGAGCTGCCGCATATTGGCTGCTGGAGAAGCGCATGTTCCAGTGATATTATGCGATTGCCGGCGCGCGAGGTGGCACATGGGCCAGGCTGTGTTTTCATTGACACGCACTTGTGCTTCTGCTTGTCACCCTGGGCACACTCTCCCACTCACTCGCCCGGCGAGCAGTGAAGGAAGGTCCTCCGGGCTGGTAACAGTGGCGGGCATGGCGGTTTCTGGGGGAAGCCACCGACGTTTTGCTGGCTGTTTTATCCAAGGCCATGGCGGAGGGGGTCTGCGCCTCGATGCAGGCGTTGGGTCATGGCGTGTATCAAGGTGTTGAACACTTCGCTACGGAGATTCTACGTACATTACTATATGGGATTGGAAATACGATGAAAGGGACCTCTGTCATCCGATTTGGAAGTCTGGCCCTTTGTTTGCCGACAACATGACTTACCTCTAGAGATATCACCGAGTGTCCCCCGGGTCTGCTGCTCTGCCTGGCTGCTGGCAGAGTGACAATGTGCACTAAGTAGATCTAAGTACCTCTTTGGCAGTTGGCACCTAAGGTGCAGTTCAGATTTGCACCTGAGTGACATTGCAGGGACTAAAGGCGCACCTCCAGGACCACATATCAGGTATCCTGTCGTCCACCCTCTGCATCAGAGACACCGTGATCCTGCACGTAACATTGCCGCCTCAGACTATTGAACATATCTGCTTGTTCTCTGAGGCGAAAAGAAATTAGAGGACCATTTTTCAAGTCGGCCAGCATCGGGGGGCTTGCGTTGTGGCCTGCTCATCCACCGCTCCCCCCTCGTGATCGGACAGCAGCGACTTTGGAAGCGTCACCTCCCAGCTTCACTTATCAGCTCGTCACCTGCTGCTCACAATCGACTGACCGTCAACGGCCGTCCAGCCTGTGCCTTTTTGACAGACGGAATTCCAATTTTCTCATTGGCCAGAATTAAAAATCAGGCAGCACCTTGATGTTGTTATTGTTTTTCTGCCACTGATTGCCTCCTCACCACCTACTGATCCCGCGCCCCTTGCCAAAAACTATTTCTTGCCCTCTTTCCTCCCGCTTCTTCTCTCTCTTTTTCCCTCTTCCCTCCTCACCCACCTCCAACAATCGTTACTCTCCATCATCGCTTTTGGCACAACAAAGCTACAAACATCTTTCTTCCACTACCTTTCTACAGCATATCGCAAGTGCATCTTCATTTCGATACAAAAAAGTAAAGTCAAGCCTTCTGCTTTGCCTTCTTCTTCTCCTCCTCAAGCGTCTCCTTCTTGGTCGTGCAATCTTCGTCACAATCGTCACAACATGGCGATGCAGATTCGTCCTCTGCCACCTCCCTTCCCCTTCTCCCTTTATCCATCTTCATCTCCATCTACTCACAACGCCCATACTGGCTTGTGCTTCACCTCTTCCCTCTTACCCTTCTCTCCTCTTCCACCGACGTCTCTACTCGCACCGCCCATATTGGCTTGTGCTTCACCTCTTCACCTTCTCCCCTCCTCCACCAAAATCTCTCTCAAACCGCACCGCCCATGCTGGCCTGTGCTTCGCCTCTTCACCTTCTCGTCCCTCGCTTGCTCGACAAGTGAGCAGCAGCAGCAAATGTCTGCGAGGCTTTGTCCACCTTCACCAACTGAGAGAGTTCCCCTCCTTCGACCACGACGGCAGCAAGCGTCTGCAGGGCCTTTGCCCAACATCACAACCTGAAAGATTCTCCTCCCTTGGATCTTAGTAGCGACAACACACTAATACTCCTACTACTCAAGTCAACAACCTTCAAGATGATGTACTCCAAGGTCATCACCGTCTGCCTCGCCCTCATGGGCTCTGTCGCCCCCGGCATCACTGCCGTTGGGCCTCTTGGTAAGGAAAACCCCAATCCCAACTGCTCTCGCCTTTCTAACAAAAACATCTTCTAGCTCAGGAGGTTCGTACTGAGACCAATGAACCTCAGGTTGTCGGAACCGCTGTGTCTGATGGTAAGTCTTCTCTCCCAACCTTCTCCCATCCCTTCATGACCCTTTCTAATGCCTTTCTCCATCACAGGTCACACTGTTTACTCAGTTAATCAGTGCACCATGTTCTTCACCACCGCGTGTGACATCTCAATCTCCTACGGCCCTCCCGTCTCTACCGAGACATCTACTTCCTCTGTCGTTCTCTCTTCCACAGAGAACTACCCCATCCCTACCTCCGTCATTGAGACATCTGTTGCCACTGGTACCGAGACCACCCCTCTGAGCACCGCGGCTTCGATCTCAACCTATCCAGTCTACACTGGTTCGGAGACTGGCAGCTACGCCACCGGCACTGGCACTTCCACTGCCACCGCCGAGACAGGCACACCCACTGCGGGCGGCGCCTTTCATGGCATCTGCCAGGCCGCTCCCATCGGAGCAGCCGTCGTCGCTGCTGTTTTCCTCGTCTAGCCTACGTTGGCCCCTCAACAACCGAGCATGAATCATCTTTGATTTGTCCCTTGACACATGTTTACTTTGGACAAGTTCAACTTGGAAAGGGTAATTGTTGTGGACGATCAACACCTGGCTTGCTTGGAAGGACTTGAGAGTCATTCGGTTTGGGGAAACAAATCATCTTTGTGTGTTTTTTTCGTTCGCTTATGCTCGAATCTTTCGGTTTGAAATGGTCAATTGAGACATATGGATCCTAATAGGAGAGATGCTTGAGGATATGAGGGAAAAGTGTTGTACTTAGCTTTTAGCACACACACCACCCAGAAATTTCAGGACCACCAGTTTTCTCATCTTTGTTTATTGCCTCGTGAATGACTCATTTGACTGCGTCGCGCACTTCTCGCGACGTGTGATATTTGGCCCAAAGCACATTGACTATGGCGCGCGTTTCTCGTGACTGATGATATTGGACGCGACAGTTTCTCGAGACACATGACATGGGACTGAACACATGGGGATAAATGACATTGGACCCAACACAAAGATTTGATATATTCCAGAAAGAAAGAGAAGAAGAAAAAAAATGCAACGGCGGTATCTATGGTATGTGCTAAACCACTACAAGTCGGTATGCTCCCAGTATGCTCTCAAATTGTCGACAAAACCCAACCAGCCAAGACTCCCATGGCGCCCAAGTGAATTTGCTACTAATGCTTGCTTCGAGGGACCAGCTAAGTTTCGCGCGGATGGCAAAGAGGGCAGCCGCCTCTCACCTTGTCCCGCAGCAGCCTCGCCCTCATAACCTTCCTGCCAACGCTGTACCGCTCGCTCTGGTCCGCATCCGGACCAAGGTCTACATCTACTCTGCGTCCCTTTTGCAGTATATCCAAAAGATGGCTCACGTGGAAGACGTGGCCGCAAGAATACCCGAGCAACATCTCCATCTCGTATTCCGCAAAGGGCTCGAGGCACTGGGCGCAGTGCCCGGGCTTGGGTTTCTCGTGGTGATGTTCTGGCAGGGCATCGTCTTCTGCCAAACCATCCTTCTTCTTCTCGGTGGCGCCGGGGTCCTTCGTTTCGATATCGATGTGGTCACTCGACTGGACGTCCACCTCGAATTTAAGCCCCTTCCGCTGCCCTGCCCGAAGAGCCGACTGGGCGGCTGCAACCTCACTACGTAGCACCCTCGCCACACCCGAGCTTATGCTGTACTGGATTTCATGCTCCTTCATCAAGTGTGTCAGACCCTCACGCAGGCCCTGGATCTCAAGCCCCTCGGGTATCCGTCGCACAAGCCGAATCGGATCGATGGCCGTCCCTGCTTGCTCAAGCAACCCGCGGATGAAACTCGGCTTGTCCATGCTATAGTTAAGCAGGTCGTCCCATAGGTCTGCGTCGTCCTGCTCCTTGGCAAATTCGATGGCCTTGTGCACATTCTTGAGTCGGTCGATGATGAGGTAGAGGGCCCTCTTCATCTCTCCAGTTTTGGAGTAGAGGTAGACCAGCTCGTCATAGTAGGAAAACAACTCGCATTCTTCGACAGCCTAACAAGATTGACGTTAGTAGATGTTACACAAGGCTTTGAAGTTCTTCAATTAGAACATACCTTTTCCAAAGAGTAAGAGGTTGAAGACTTGATGAATTCCATCAGCAGGCTCCTGTCGTATGTTGCAAACAAGTGGACAGCCAGATCAGCGAAGTCATCGACCAAAGACTGACTATCCATGACAAGCCGATCGACGTGGTCGCTGGTATGCTCTTGTAGCCCTTCGCCCCGGTACAAGCCCCGCAGATAAAAGAAAAGGTATAGATGCAGTTCCTGGGCAAGTAGCTGCTCTACCACAACATGAGGCTTCACCAACCCATGCTGCGCTTCCTCTACCAACACAGTAATAGCCTCCCCCGTTGCGTCCTCCAAGTCCTTCTCCGACATGGTGGGGAGCTGCTCTGATGAGACTCGCAGTCCAATGAAACCGGGAATATCATCAACGACAGCGTCCGCAAGATGGCTATCCTTGATCAATCGGAACGTTGAATCAGCATCTTGAAGCTTAATATAACACTTTAACGCTTCCCGAAGGCGGCCATTAGCCTCGTGAAGATGGGCCAGGCTTTCGATGACTATTCGCCAATCACGTCCTTTCTCCCCATCCTCAATGCTGTCCTCGCGTACATCGCGGAACTTCAGCTGATTCTCGAGAGTGGTAGCGATGGTATTGATATCAAAAAGATCAGTGGACCAGTGGTCTAAGAGCTCTTTGAAACGAAGCTTGTCCGTCTGCAAATAGTGCCCAAGGATGACTTCATACATGGTCTTTGGAAGAGGGGGCGTCAGAGGATCCGAAGGGATGAAATTAGTAATCTCATCAAATCGCTTCGCTCCTGCAAAGGTCCAAAACCATGACTCCCATTGCTTTGGTGTCTTCAAAACTTTGTTGCAAAGCCTTCCTGCGTCAAGCCATTTGCCTTCATCAACAAGCTGTTGCAGCCAAAGCTCACCAACTCTAGTCTTTTCCTTTTCAGTACTTGAGAGAGATTGCCGATAGCTTGAATCGGCCACAGAATCGTCGTCGTTGGATTCCTCGATGCTGTCCTGTGCTTTCGAAGGAGTTTGTGGCGTATCGGTAAACTTGTCCGGTGTGTCCGCTAGAATATCTGGGTTCTCGTCGAGAAGTTCCCAGGCTTGTTGATATTGCTGGCGTTCGATAAGCCACAGTAAATGATCTCCCATATCTCGCTTTGTTGCCAGGATGCAGTCATAAGGGCTGTGGATGAAGATTTTAGACCCAGGTTTCATCAACTTCGGGTGAACACCGAGCTGCTTAATTTGACCAGCCCGGGCGGGACCTCTGATACTGCCTCCTACCCTGCCACCAGAGCCTGCATCATCGCCACTTTCGTGGCTTCTCACACTTGCCCCTGAGCTAAACAAAGACCTGGGGTTGATTGCGGCGTTCCAAACGTCGGTTCCAATGCCAGCTATGGCCTCCAGAGCACCTCTAGATGACACCACTGCTGCTGCATTTCGAGGAGGTAGAACGCCGAGGTGGTAATCGCCTGCTGCAAGTCTTTCATATCGACTGATGGTCAGACCGTCTCGGTCAATCTCTTCCTGGGAGTTGAGATCGATGAGCCGCAATTCTGGGCGCTGGTGGTTTGCGCGCCGACGTATGCCTCCTGATGGTTGGCTTCCCATGGATGTCGTAGATAATTGCTGTTTGTGGCCTCTGGCAGGGCTGCCCTGTACCGATGGGACCGACTCATCCTCATCCTCGTCGTCATCTTCATCATGCGAGTATGCAAGTACCGCCAGAATGCTCTGCGTATACAATGTAATGCCGGAGATGATACAATCCAGGCGAAGTCTGGGGTCTCGTTAGTCCAAGTCCATACCGAATAAGAGTTAAGTGACTTACATCTTAACGATTTCGGGTCTTGCAGGATGTTTTTCCTTCGTATTTCTGCCTGCATTGGCTGCAATGGGGTGGATGTTGACTATCCAAATTGTTCCTCCCCATCCAACTAAAAGTCTTTCCACATTCTTCCTATCCTGGGTCGCCTGGCTCCTCAGCCTGTCGGCTGCCGGGGATGCCGTAGGGTTTGCAGTTAGCTCAGTTTCTGTTTCTCGAGTCTCAAAGGCCTGTTCATCGATCCATTCCACACGGCCCTTCCAAACACTGGCCATCGTCTCCCACTCGTCAGTCTGTGGTCGGTCATAGTGGCCAAACCTCTTCCAGGCATGGTTGGATTGCGGATTTTCAAGGTGGAGGTTTGACCGCATCAGCTTGATTCCATGCTCATTAAGCCAAACAACATATTTTCCAGACAGAGACCACTTGATGGTGCTGATGGTGCCTTCTCCTGAGTGATGAATCGTATCCTTGCCAGTGTTGGAACCAAGACCCATGCTCCCTAACCATCCAGCAGCTGTCGCCGCAGCCGTTCCAGTGGTTGTGGATGTGCTCTTGCCTAAGCCCCCACCCACTGTGACTATGAGTTCACCAGCCAGACCTCCAGACACATAGGTGCGATCGGACTTGTATTCGGGTGACAGGGCAACGGCCTGCACTGGACGGGCGAAGTTACGTAGCTGAACGTCCCTCATGTCCATCAACGACTGTACGCACACATTTCCATCCATAGATGAAGTGGCAATGTATATCTCGTTGGATGGTATCTTTGGGATCGGTTGAGGCTCGCGCGGCTTCCTGGATGTGGCAGCGGGAGATGCATCTGATTGGCGCGAACTCGGTCTGGCTTGCTGCTGCTGGGCGGCCAGCTTTTGAGGGAGCTCAGGGTTGTAAGGCGCCAGGGGTGAGGGATAGGGAGAGATCGAAATACTCGTCACCGAGGCAGAGTGTGCATGATAGACCCGTAGAGATTGGAAGGTGGGAAGCTGGTAGACGTGCTGCGAGGAATATTAACAACCGGAACAGAGAAGTTGGCGGTGACATTTGCTTACAATGTTGCCGTTGTGTGTACCAATAATCTAGAGAATAGTCAGCTTGTGAGAACGACATCAAACAAATCGGTGGGCTCCAGACCATCTTGTCTCCAGCAACAAGAAATGCGCTCGTCGCATCCCCATTCCTGTATACACCCGCGAGGTGTTGAGTCAACGGCGTATACTTCAACTCTGGCTCTTCATCCTCGTCGCTGTCTTCATCATCATCCTCCTCGTCATCCTCCTCCTCTTCTTCTTCACCATCCTCTTCATCTTCATCATCGTCGTCGTCTTGTTCCTCATTCTTCTGCGTGTCTTGGCCCTTCTGTTGCGCCTCCCGTTCGTCCACTACGTTGGTCTGAGAACCGTCCTTTGGGGCTGCTTCACTGCTGCCCTTGGCATCGTCTGCAGCTTGGGCACTGTTCTCCGAAGTAGATTGGTCTTTGGGCGCCTGTTGCGACGCATCGATAGCTTGGTCTAGCGAGCCGGCGGAGCGGTCCGGTTCGTCGCCCGAAGGGGGGAGCTGGTCTGTCATCGCGACAGTCGGCCACGACTTGTCATCCTCGGGGCAATGGAGAAGCACCGGCACTATTGCAGCTCGGACGAGGAGCAGGCTACGATAGAGGGGGTCGGGAGCGTAGTTGAGGGAGAAATTGAATGGTCGACTTGGAGCCTGAAGCTTGGAAGGTAGGTAGCAATGCTGCGATCCGGCAGTCGTTAGGTAGCACCGACTTAATTAAAGATACCCTGCACCTACGTCACGAGTCGCAGAGCTATTGGCTTTGGCTTAGCGCGCGGCGGAGCTTGTCGCGCCTAACTCAGGTCCCACCGCCGCTAATCCAGGCCAATCCAGGCCCTGGTCCAGCTGCCACTCGCTCGCTGCAGCAGGCACCAACCCCACTATCGCCTGGCTGCATTTCCAACAGCTTCAAGTCCATATTATTCCCCGAGGCCAAATCGAGGCGCGTCCCACCGCGTATTGCACCAGCTGTCCCAATGCCCTAGCCACGACCAAGCAACACGTCAGCCGAGCTCTCGATCTTCTGCCCGATTGCAGTGAGCCTTGGGGGGCTTATGGACACCCTCCAACATGGCGTCGGTCAAGTCCCTGGGTCTACATCACCCGTCCGGACTGCGGCACGCGATCGATGAACAGATTCTCCCCGAGAACCCCCCGGCCGACTCATACAAATGGACTGTTGACGTGGACCATTCCACGGGCAAGCGAGTGGAGGATGAACTTTTTGTGACTTCAACCTGCGTTATATGGTCCCGAGGTGGCCTGGTCCGGAAAACATTCAAGTTCGATGTCGAGAAGGAACTCATCACGCAAGCCCTCTTCGCCTATTTCCCCGCCTCTTCCGACGACAGCCATGATAAGAAGGGTACCAAGGGCGAGCCGCGCCCCCGTTCTGCCCGGGCCAAGGCTTTGGTCGTCTTCTTCAAGACCAATGCTCACATCTACTTCCTCTCTGGCACCAGTCACACAATCCACATGCCCTTCGAGGTGGAGTCTGCCTGCGCAGGTCCTATAGGCATCATTATACAGCGCAAGCAAAAGGCCGAAGGTCTTGCTCCCGTTTCTCTCAAGTTCCCTCGAGTCCCGCCGAATTCATTTCTCTCGTCACAGCCAACCATCTCCAATCTATCGCAACACTCTACTTTCTCTGTCGAGACGCTGGGAAAGCCCAAGGCACTTAACCTTGGGCTTGGATCCACGATTGGGAACATGTGGGATGCACGATTAGAGCAGCCTGAGTCCTCGTGGCCTCGACTCGTCTCTCTCACTGACCCCCTTCAAGACATTGGATTGGTGGTCACTGACGGCCCGGATGGCACGAATACTCGAGATCCTAAAAGGGAGAATTCAAAGCGGCCAAACTTCCTTCACTCTTCCGAGGAGCTGATGCACGTGGAGCAAGTCACTGTCGGTACCGAGCCAATGACGCTGGCTGTGACTGTCCAACGAGAGGCGGGCACTTACACCGTGTGGCGACTAAGCTATCTCGAACAAGAAGACCCCTTCATCAAGCGGAAGAAGACAACAAAACAAAAAGGGTCGCGGCGGCGTAGTTCCATGCAGCCGTTGACGAATGGGCGAGATACTCCGGTTCACCCAAATATCCGCGAGAGCTTTGGTGCCCCGCTGCCGGGGAAAAGGCATAGAAAAAGCGAAAAGATTGAGAAGCCTCTCGACTTGGTCACTTCTTTGGAGCAGCAGGATAATGAGGATGCCGGTGCCAAGAGACGTAGCTCGCGGCGTGTTAGTTCTATGCTTGCTCGAGCTGATCTATCTGCATCGCATGAGAGACCGGTCTTCACTGAACAACCTCACGTCCCTGGGCACAGTACCTCGAAGAGACATGATTCAAATGGAAGCCAGTATGGTCGTTTGAGCTCTCACTTCAATCACCAGATCCATCCCAGTCTTGGGAGCCTCCTTGAAGCCCCTCATGATGTGGGACTCGATGAAGGTTTCAATAACATGGGGTTGGATGACCAAGACTTCGAAGGATTACAAAAAGAATTACATTTTACCAAAATTCACAGCATGTCTCTCGATCAGTCAAATCTTCGGTATTCAGTACGCGACAATGCTTCACGAAACCAGTGCAGAGTCTTCATGTTGATGTCTCCACCCTTTGCTTGCAATGAGCCTTCTCGACACCAGCTTCTCATCGGTATCCAAGATCTTGTAGAGAAGCGCCTCAACTTTATTAGGCTGTATTTAACCTGCACCCAGAAATCAGAAGGAACTATAACCGCATCGAAAAGAGGCAATGACGAAGACTCGTCAGATTCCGAGCTGATTTCTATAAGCGCGGTGGAGCAGATCAAAGTCCAAAATGTTGTTGATTCGTGCAAGCTTGTCGACGGTGATCATGCAGTGGTTCTTGTTCTTTCTGAATCAATGGATGGCCGGCATGAATTAAGTACTCAAGCCCCTTGGAGCGAGTTGACCAAGGTTTCTGTGTCCCTTCTTTTCACTGAAGACACGAGGAGTCTACAGTATCAAGGGAGGAGCATTGACCGAGATGTGAGGCAGAGGAAATCCGAGGTCATCGACTTTAGTAATGGTAGCATCGTTGGCCTTATCCATCCCCGTGGCCGAGGTATTGTAGATGTTGTTGATACCGACGGCAGGCTCCATCAACTCAAGGTTCAAATTCAGCCTTCTTGCCCCCAAGTTCGCAAGGTCTTGAACGCTTGCAGTGGGATCCTTCCCGATAGCCTTGGGGTACGTATTCATGCGGGATGGATGCATGTCATGCAGTGGCTACGTTCTCGTGGAGATCCAGCTGCCTCATCAGAGTGGTCCGGCTTAGTTATACTCATTCTCTCCATGTTTCTCAACTTAGGGCGTGTGGAGACGCAAATATTCCAAACAACACGACTACCTGTACGAAAAAAAAGGCCTGCCTCTGGGTCCTTTGGTTCGATCAAAGAGTCTGAAGATTGGAAAGCCTTAGAGGTGGGGGAGACTGTTCATTCGTTAGGATACCCTGTGTGGATGATGAACAAGGGATGGGAGGTTGCTCTTGATGAAGATCTCGAAGATCCGCTTTCGTCTCAGAACGACCCTCGATCGAACCCCAAATTCACTTCCAAGCACATCGCACTGGCAAAGGAATTCATGAATTCAAAAGTTGCTGATGCAGCTTTGGGGAATGATGGGTACTTGCCAACGGCTTTGAATCGAGGCGTGGAGAGCAGGAGAAGGGTGGCGGTCGATCTCTTCATGGGCCTTCATCTTTTGCTCGAGGAGCAGAAACTCGACATAATGACGGCAGAATATGCTTCGCCTGGTCGAGTTGACCTCCGTGTTTTACTTTGCCAAATCGCAAGGTGGCTTAAGTGGGCTGATTTCTGGTCGGTCTATGAGCTTGGTGTTCAGGAAGACATCGATCAACGGCATGACTCTGGTAAGTCATCTAATCAGCCTTCAGGGCTGCTGAATCTAATTCTAACTCTTCCTCAGAACTCAACCTCATCCCATCGATACCTCAACCACCCCTTCGACCTGACATCTTTCTATGGATACAATCTCGCTTAACCAGGGAAGGAGATGTTTCTTATCCAACGCCAGCGGATATCTTCTATACTGGCTTAAACCTTCCCAAGCATAAAAACAGATCTGATCCTCGGTGGGACGAAATTGTACCTCGAACCCTCATCTTCAAGCGATTCTTTAGGCTCCTAAAGCGGGATGCCACAGCTGTCGATATGGTAGAAACAATGTATGAGTGTGGGATGACAACTCACTTTCTAGAAACGCTCCCAGAGGCCATTCTAGTTCCGTTCAAAGACGCCATATCCCTTTGCCAACCTCACCCTCCATCATACTGGTCCCGAGATCTACTTGATTTCGTTAAAAGGGGTGATATCAGCTTAATCCTAGAACCTACGGGACGGCCTCGCCCAGCGATCTCTAATATCTTGGTGCGTGACACTGATCTTCTACTGCAAAGCTCTTATACTAACACACTAACCAGACCCCAACTCACGTTGCAAGCTGGGACATCAAGCTCCTCTGCCAGAGCGTGGATGAGAACAATGCTGGCTTTGATGAAGGTGAAGGCACAGAACGGCAGGCTGTTATTCGTGCCCTCTTCAAGGAAGATCGACGTCTAAATGAAGTCCAAGATCTTTTGTCAACACACAAATCCAGGGTCGTCCGCCTCGATCCCCAGCCTGACTGGTCAGAAAGCGTCTATCTTGAGATGCAAAAGGAGCTGGCCTCCAGGATAGCGACTGGCACATTGGCCATTCCAGCAGGCCGAGGGTTGCTCTATTATAGTCTCCGTTTCCCGTTAATTACCCAGAAGTTTCACATCGGTGGATTCAACTTGAATTGCATTGTCCGACCAGCTAATGTTACGGTTGGTGTTGACAAGACTCTATTCACGGAAGAAAAAGTTTGCTGGGGGTTCTTTCACCAAGGTGTGGCTGCAGGTCTGGCTATTTCACCTCAGGCCAAGGGCATAGATTCGTCCTGGATCCTGTACAACAAGCCTGGACAGGAACTCAGCAATCGGCATGCTGGTTTCCTCCTGGCACTTGGGCTAAATGGCCATCTCAAGGGCATTGCCAAATGGGTTGCTTTCAAATACCTTACTCCAAAGCATACCATGACCTCCATTGGCCTGTTGCTTGGACTTGCGGCATCGTACATTGGTACTATGGACTCGCTCATCACGCGTCTGCTTTCCGTCCACGCCACCCGCATGCTACCAAGAGGAGCTGCAGAGCTTAACCTATCTCCTTTAACACAGACATCTGGTATAATGGGAATCGGGTTGTTGTACTGCAACAGTCAACACCGACGAATGAGCGAAATCATGCTCTCTGAAATCGAGCATATAGACGAGGAGGACGAGGAGGAACCATTGCGAAGCGAGTGCTACCGCCTAGCTGCAAGTTTTTCACTCGGGCTCATCAACCTAGGCAATGGAAACGACTTGAAGGGCCTCCATGATATGAAGCTTACAGAAAAGCTTCTCACATATGCCACCTCAACGAAAAAGGTAGAGCTGG